GAACTCTCAACTTTAAGGGCTATAATACTCAGTGCACCACTATACTATACCTACCAAGATGAAACGGGAAACTGTAATTTTTTTTGAAGTAAAATGAATCATGAATCCTGATATCACATTGAACAAATAACTGTCTTCTCCATTAGCTCGGATTAAAACCCAAGTAAAGGTAGAAGAAGCATACCTCCAAACTCTGCTCAACCTCGAAAGGAACTTTGATGGAAGGATCCTTTGATCCCTCTGGAAGGACAACCTAAAACATAACAAGACTCCATTATTAGCTTCTTAATTTCCACACACCCAAAAAAAAAAGAAAGAAACATTGGTAACCATATGTAACAGAAATACACAATCTATATCTCAATAGTCAATATATAGAGCATATATAAAATAATACAGACTTTGATTGTCAATTTGTCGACTACAGTGTCAGCAAGAGGGCAGCCAAAAGTGTAATTCAGGTAACGAGCACCATCATCCGACTCGAAAAGGAAGTCTTGCAGAGGCACTCCATATCCAATCACAAAAGTCGATTTCCAGCCTCCAAATAAAGGATAACGAGGTTCTATTAACAGCTCCGACTACAAGAAAGGTGGAGATTTGTCAAACATAAGTTATTTTTCCTTTAACCCATTTTTTAAGGGAATACAATTATTATTATTCCCTTTTTAAGTGGTTTCCAACAACTACAACTGCATCAAAAAAACTTGTCTTCTTTTTGTTTGACATATTCATCAAAAAAATTTCCAACATTTTAACTCAGCCACTTTTTTTAACCTAACTTTAACTCAACCTCACTATTCAATATAATTAAGTAATATCAATCAATCATTAATACACACCACATCAACCTTACTTCACTATTCATCCACTCACATTATTTTAACTAACTATCACATCAAACCATCTCTCTCCTACTTTTACATCAAATCATTTTGATTATTTTATTTTAAATATTATTTTAATATATCCACTAACAACTAACCATACCACCTTTTTCAAAATTAACTAATCCAAAACCAAAAATCCCAAACAAAACAAAAAATTTTCATAAACAAACATGCTCTTAATGCTTAACAAGGAAAAAAAAAAA